CCTCAGCCTTTGTGCAGGCCAGTTTGAATTAAGCATACTTACTAAGAAATAAATGGTGGAAGAGAAGATGATGGCCTTGGAACGGCCAAGGTAGGAATCAGCTATGAAGGCTCCAAGTAAAGGGAAGACGAAGGAGACCCCAACCCAATTGTTGACGATCTTAGCAGCTGCCGATGTTGTCTCTTCCAAATCATTGGTCAAGAAAGTTATCAAGTTCCCTGTTAAACCATAGAATGCAAATCTTTCTGCCATCTCCACAACTGCGTTTCAAGGTTTTTATGCGTCAAAAGGGTTTGAAAAATTCTGGATTTGTGCAAGAGTGAGTATATATCAGTTACATCTAAGAGCCACATACTGTTTATGGCTCTTCAATTAATTTGACCAGGCTTCCAACAATATTATAAGCATCAGTTTTAATTTGTTCAGGTTAATATTCAAATATCACACGCATGCCGAATACATATGTGTGCAGAGACTTTTTTTTTTTCACAGAAAAACCCAAGCATTATATTATTGATTCACTCAAAATTATTTTTTCTTGAATTTTCTAATTTCATTGTAAACACAGATTATATTTTTAGTAATTAAAAAAAATACGGATGTATAATATAAGTTTAGCAAAATTTACAAAAAAATGTATAATTCAGGCAAAAAGAATAATTTATTTTTATTTTTTTAATTATTGATGACTTTTCAGCTTCAGAAAATTAAGAAGAAATATAGCATATACTTCCTCTTGTCCTTAAGATAAGAGCTGTAAATTAAGTTGGATAAATTAAGAAATTTAGATGAATTAGTTAATTATAACAAATATTACCCGCTAGTCCTAAAATACCCATGTTTGACATTGGATAATATATACACACACATCAATTTATGAATTGGGTAAATTAGTTTTCGAGAAAATAATAAATATAAAAGATAAAATGGATAGTAATTTTATATTAAGGATTAAATTAAACTCTTCAACTAACTTCTATATTAGGGAGTGGAAGAAATACTAAGTTTGATGATATGAGAGAGAGAAAAAAAGTAGAAATGGAGCTTACATGTGAGAAAGAAGACAGCATTCCAGCCACCTGTTGAAGGTTTATTATCATCATCACTTGAAGAATAATTGGCTTTCTTTGAAGCTGCATTTGTTGTATCCATAGTTGGGTATGAAGTGGGCTTAGCTAGCTGAGAATTGGAAGAAACACGATGTGTATCATTTATATATATAAACATGAGTCCCATCATATATATATATATTTGATTAGTTAATGTTATAGATATCTAAAAATTAAAGAAATCGGCAGAAATTAATATAAGCTGGCTTTAATTCAACGTTATGTACTGTCTAGTTGTTAATTACTTGTATTCATGGCTATCTGCTTGGATATATGAAAAAAATTAGAAGAACTTGCTGCTATGTCTGCTCAAGTGGCCTGATATATGCCTAGAGCTATCTATCCCTTTTCCTCCTTCAAACGAAAATATCCATGATCTGGAACAAACTATTTCTTTGGGTCTTTACTATAAGGACATTTCTTATGGTTTATATATATAAGGCCCTATGTTTAAGAAGTACGTATAAAACTGCTTGTTTCCCCTCCAGATGTCCTATATATGATATGATATTTCTTAAATAATTTTTTGGATAATTTTAAAATTTTTAAAGCATTGGCTAATTTTAAATAACTTTTTAAAAGTATATAAAATTATGAATAGGTTGGTTCTTATAATAATAAATACCTGAGAAATTAATTAGTTTTGAATTGGATGTGTGGGCCGGGCTCCAAAATATATAAAGGAAATCATTTCTAATAAAACTTTTTTTCGCAGGCTTAAAATGTGCGTGTGTGTGTCTGTCTGTCTGTCTGTCTTTGAGGATCCTAATCCCATAAGATAACAATAAGAAAGAAAAAAGAGGCAGAGTATATTACAACTTGTCTTTCAGCATTAATATATAGAAGGATGTTTAACGCTTGCAAGAGTCATGTATGTTAGAAAGTTACTCCTCCTATTCTCCAAGTCGGATCTAACTAACTAATTTAAGTTAATTAAGAATGCTAGTTAAATTATAGTTTATATTATATGTTTTTTCTAAAACATCATAAGCATATTTATTAATTCCCTTTCTCATTTTGGTGAGGAGAATACCAATAGAGTTAATTTTGAAAAAAAATGGATAAACAAAGACTTATAGATAAGACTAAAATCAATTTTCTAATTAGGTCCTACATTAAGAACCAGAAAATTACTATTTTTTTAAATAATTATCACAACCTTGATTTGATTGACATTTAGATAAGTCTTTTTAAAACACCAACAGCATATATTCCTTTCCCCTCTTTCTTTTTTCTCTATTTTTTTTTCTTTTTTATTTGAGCTGTTAATTAAATATATTAATCCTATAATCGTGCCACCAAATATGATTGACCGATTAGAAAAAGAGTTGATATCCTTTCAGTACTTATCTAGTACTATTTATAAGTTAATTTTAACTTGTTTATTGAAATTATGAAAAAAATTTAAATTAATTTTGATTTAAAATTTAATGACTTTTTAATTTTATCTCTTTTTTATCCAAATAATTAACAGTCAGACAAACAGAAAAATAGAAATAAATTTAATCAGTGGCTGCAGAAATCAAATAGAGAATAAAAAAAACTTAAAAAGGAACAATTTCTTTGCGGGCCAACCCAATTGGAGGAAGATTATGACTTTACGGCCAAGTTGTTTAAACAAGACTCAATAGTCAATCTGCACGTAGCCTACTCAAGCCGGCATGTATTAATTGAATCAAACCTCATTAAGCCGACAATTTTAATTAACGTTTTAAATTGTGCATAAGTCAAATTAAACTTTATGGTTATTTAATTTGTACTTACAATAATGAAAATACACACTAACTCCAATATAAAAACTAATTGAAAATTCAATTTGGTCTTAAATATAATATCATAATCTACTTTGTCTCTAATATTTATTTATTTTGCCCACAAGTAATTATATAATTATTACAAATGTTAAGGAGTTTTCATGAAAAGGTAATTTCAATACACATGATTGATTGAGGTATTTTAGGAGAGACAATATTTATTTGTTATAAATTTTTTCAATATCTACAAATTAGTTATTTAATTCTTATATCAGCTCTTATATTAAGGATGAAAGGTACGTATTATTTTTTTTAAAAATGTATTATAAAGATTACAGCAAATCTCATTATTTGTATAGAGATAGCTAGAGATGATGAGCTGAGTAGTGACAGTTTTTGAAGATTTTGTGAAGTACATTAGGATTTCGTTGAAAGTGTCTTGCTTGCAATTAAATGCGTCAAAGGAAGGATCAGTTCCTTTCAACAATTTCTGCAACGCAACGTGACTTTGATTTTACTCTGTCGTTTATTACCGTATGAATCATGCGCCTTTGGATCTTCTGCTAATTATACGTGCGCATTTGTTAGAGCGGATCAACTCAACTGATACTTAGCGTCTCCTTAAATATTATTTGAAATGTGTTTACTCCTAATTGTGATGAGTGTGTGAATTCCTATCGTCGGGTAAAGAATAACAAGAAAAAAATTACATGCATGTTTGATTTTTACATTTTGTGGTTTTACCTTGTATACCTAGCATAATTGTTGAAACTATGGGAATTCGTGAAAGTCTCTCGCCCAGTATGAGGAAAATGGAGCTCTCCTCCCCTCTTTTTTTTTTTTTTTTTCCTCTCAACGGCAGAGAGTACAGCTGGGCCTTTTAGTATTGTTATAAAAAAATTTAGAGAAAACTATTCCGTATTTAGACCCATATATTTTTTAATTTTAATTTGGTACCTTTATGTTTTGGGAAAATTGCAATTAGATTCCATCCAAGAGAATTAAATACAAAAAAGTCTCTTGAAATCATGAAATTATTATGAAGTCCCAAGGGACCTTTTTGCAATAAATTTTATTTGTTTAATTACCAAATTATCCTTCTTTTTTTTTTTTTAAGTTTGCATTGACAACTGAAAGAGCAATGGTTGACAACTTAGAGTGCAAGAATTGATAAGTATCGCAGCTGGTTTGATAACACATTTTCTCAACATATTACAAAATGTAACGCATGAGTTGTCAAACCAGCCCGATACTTGTCAATCATTGTCCCGTAAGTTGTCAACCACTGCCCTTTCAATTGTCAATGCAAATTTAAAAAAAAAAAAGAAGAAGGATAATTTGGTAATGAAACAAATAAAATTTATTGCAAAAAAGTCTCTTGAGATTTCAGAATAATTTCATGATTTCAAAGGACCTTGTTGTATTTAATTCCCTTGTGTGGAACCTAATTGTAATTCTCCCTTGTGTTTTTCTCTCATAATCAAATACTTTGATTTTGCTTTGCTAGTATTGTTAGTTCTTGTAAACTTTTCCTATTAACATCGTTAGCCATTGTACGACAACTAATTCTACTAAAATAACAAATTAAATTAAAGTATAGAATTAAGAGAGAAAAACATACAGGTACCAAAATAAAAAATTAGAAAAAAGTATAGTCACTTGTAAAATGGTTTTCTCAAAAAAAAAATTTTAACATTCGTAACCCATTCTATTCAATACAATGCCTAATTATTTTGACAAAAACAAACTTATCAATGCAAATTAAATGCTAATTTATGGAAAGGAAAAATCTTCATCCATGTTGGCTGTGACGTCCCGTGATCTCTTCCTCTTTCCGTTTCATCATTTCCTTGAACTTTTTTTATAGGCATTGTGACAGATTTATGGCAAAATTTTGTGATACCAAAATTTATTTCATAATAGATCCATAAAGCGTTTGTGATGGAAACTTTGAAATTCTATCGCAACAATTAAAATTTGCCACCAAGAAATTTGTGAGGAAATCCTTCCCAAGTTTCTTGTCTTTTAATAGTATCTGTATAAACAGAATACACCAATATTATCAATATTTATATATAAAACATATGGGAATTAGAGCATTATTATGAATAGTGTGGCAGTTAGTTTGAGCTCTCCACTGTAACGAGTGGAGCCGGAGGCGTTAACCAATCTAAAATGTAAAATTGATAGCAAATCTTATAGGTTGTTCATTACTCGTTATTCTTACATTTCTTAGCAAAAAAAAAAAGGACAAAAACAACAATAAATCAATATACAAGTGCTGCCTTAACCACGGGCATTTTCTTCATCATGCTGATTGGCAAGTCCATTAAAACCCTTCATCTCTTCCTCTTTTCTTTCATCATAACCTTCAACTTTTTTGTAAACATACCTCTTAGCAACAAGCACATAAACAGCCAAATTCAAAAACCCTAATCCAGCAAGCAGAAAATAGTAATAATCCAGATGTGACCTATTCAGATTATTCCCAAGCCATTTCTTTTTGCTTGCTGATTCCACAATAGATATAAGAGCACTGCTGATAAAATTTGCAACTCCAGCATTACTGATATAAAATGCAGCTCCCAAGCTTCTCATAGCCTCTGGCATTTGATCATAACACAGATGTTGAAGCCCTACTATAGATAAGGCATCCACAAACCCCAACAGAATATACTGAGGAAGCAACCACCAAACCCTAATTGGCAATATTGCTTTTGGATTGTCCAAGAGATTATAATCACTTGCTATTTTAACCCTTTTGGACTCTATTAGGGCAGCCACAAGCATGGTTAGAGAAGATAGGAATAAGCCAATGCCTATTCTTTGAAGCATTGTGATGCCTGTAGGTTTGCCTGTGAATTGTCTTAGCAGAGGAACAAGAAGTCTGTCATAGACCGGGATGAAGATCATGATAACGAAGCCGGAGATGCATTGAAGTGAAGCCGGCGGGATGATGAAGTGAGGTCCTAGTGATCTAACCATTGTGCTACCTTGTTTGGTGAAGAAGGTTGATGATTGAGCCTGAGCTAAATTGAAGTACAAGCTTGTTAGCCATATGGGTATGAGGCCTAACACTAGCTTTATTTCTTCCACTTGGTTTAATGAGCATAGCCTCCAAGGATTTCTTGTGTTGCTTGATGCATCAATTTCATCAATTATCATTGCCTTGTCCAAAAATCTGAAACACGTCAAAAGTGTTAAAACTACATTTAATAAGTTTTAAGAATTATATTGCTTCCAATAATCCATTTTATAAGTGTATAAATAAAAGAATAAAGGTTAGTTCAAATTAGTCAAAGCTCATAAATATATAGAAAATACTTCTTATTTTCCAAAACTACGCTATGAGTGCGTGGATACTTAATGTAGCAAAACTAACCAATGTGTCTTTTTTATAAGTGCAAAACTAAACAATAACTGATGGGAAAAAATAATTACTAAAAATTTTAGATAAGCTAGTAGTGTGGCTCTTATAAATGGGAACACATAAAAAAGTTCTCTTATAGTAGCACATAAGGCTAGAAGGAATATTTAGAAGTAGCAATCTCAAGTGTTGTTGGCATCCTAGTGAAAAATGGCTTGAATTGCTTAAACTCAAAATCTCTAAGTTTGAGTTGTGTGAAGATAGAAAAAACTATTTGAAGAATTCTCCCGAGTTGAGCCTGAACTCGTTCAAATCTAACTCAATGAAATAATCATATAAAAATATTTATAAATAGCAGAGATAATTCATATTACCTGAAATGTTTTGTGCGAGCCAAAACTCTAGTTTGTGTCTCCAAAATGATATCACCATGCATTGACTTGTTTCCATAGAAAACACCTTTTCCATTGCGCATCTCATCTACTTGCCGCTTACGAATAGCTGCTACTAACACTTGGGCCACCGCAGTGAAGGGGCTTCCAAGTGGCCCTTGTTTTTTATACTTTTTAATACCAAGCAAGAAAATACCAAAAGCCACAGCTATTGCTGCTGCCAATATGCCAAACCCTACTGTCCACCCAACGTTGTCCTAAATCCAAAAGCAAATGTCAACCAATAAAAAGTCAGATTTTACAATAATCCTAAATATATTTTTAAATATTAAAAATTATTATAAGGTTTTACAAAAAAAAAAATGCTACAATTCTATACAATTTATTATGGTAGTCAGATTGAACCACAACCTCCCACTTATAAGAAAGCTTTCATATTATTAAATTACAATTTTTGTCGATATTTTAAAATTAACTCAAAGTAACCTGAGTTGACGGTCAAATAAAGAGGATAATTTGAAGTTAATCTGGACTTTTTTTGGGCTCAACCGAAAAGTCAAAACCAGTTTATAGCCTGTTGGGCTGGGTGAGGCTTGCACTGGATCCACCTGTCTGATGAAAAGACTTAGGAATAAGCCCAGCTCAAATTGACCAGCCGGCCCAATTGACTGGGCCTTTACTTTTGCTGCTTCCTATGGTAATCCCAAGGATACGAGCACTTGATGCCTTAAAACTATAGTCCATTTAGCCCAATATTTATTAATAAAAAACATTATATGGTTTCAAAAGAAAATCAAGAGAACGCCAATGTAATTTACAGTTGGGGAGAAGTTTGGAGATAGTTAATAAAGTGAAAAGTAATAATAGGGACAAAATGTTGAATATGAAGTACCTGAAGATAAATGACAACTAAAATGGCAGATACAGCACCAGTTATAAGTCCTAAGTACCACCAGTTGAAGAAAGAGTTCTTGGCCATTCTTTCTTGTGGTGAGTCTTCATCAAACTGATCAGCTGCAAATGTTTGAACGCTTGGCTTGTGTCCTCCTTCTCCTATCGCCAATATGTAGAGTGCCATAAAGAACACCCACTTTCTGCTATGCACAGGAACCACTGATACTGAAAGTGTCAACAAAACCATCCCCTGCAATCATCTCAGGGTTTGGGTTAAGATGAGGTATCGTTGATCAGAACCCAAATGCCAACTTGTTGGCATATCATTTGTTTTTTTAATTATTACTTATTAGTGTGAATAGTCATTTTGGCCTGAAAGTATTTACGAAGGAGACGTGGGTATCCAGAAGTCTTTTTAAACTCAATATTGTCTGAAGTGTTAAAAAAGACACCACCTCATCATTTTAACCAGTAAAGGAACTTTCAGATACCTATAACTCCTTTGCGAATATTTTCAAGAGAAAAATGACAATAAGTGTTTGGGAAAGTAGGATGTATATGCATACCAAGAAATAGATGATGGAAGAGAAGATGACGGTTTTGAAGCGACCGAGGTAGGAGTCAGCAATGTAAGCTCCGAGCAAAGGGAAGACGAAGGAGACACCAACCCAGTTGTTGACATTCTTAGCAGCTGCCGGTGTTGTCTCTCCCAAAACATTGGTTAAGTAACTCACCAAGTTCCCACTTAATCCATAAAACGCAAATCTCTCTGCCATCTCCACAACTGCAACATGCATTTCATCAACTCATCAAAGATTATTGTCTCAATCAAACCAAAGTAGTGGTCATAGTAATTCAAGAGTTCTAGTTTATGCCCAAAAAAAAGCTGTTTGTAAAGAAGATCTCATCAAGATTAGTTCCATCATATTCACAGGGTATCAATATTCTCAGTCAGATTCTCTCTCTCACACACACACAGATGGAACTACCTAAACTCGGATTTGAGTCTGTGAAATAATTTTGGAAGAGGAACGCCGGTTCAGGCTACATGGATCTTCATGTCCAAATTCGATATCGCTGTAGACTTAAAATTTTCTCTGAAAACGTGAGCTGCTGATGAAAAACTAGTTTGGGAATGAAATTAATTGATTCTGGTTGAAAAACCCAAACAAGAAGATGACATGCAGAGAGAAGGAGATCGAAAGAGAAGAAGGAGAAGAAGGTTGAAAGTTGAAAGAGAGCTTACAAATGATGAAGATGGCGGCATTCCAGCCACCTCTAGAGGGTCTTCCATGATCAATTGAAGAGCTGTTGTTATTGCTTGGAGCTGTAGTCTCAACCATGGCTGCTCTAAATTATTAGCAATGGAAGAACAATATATTTGAGATTGAGGAAGAAGAAAACTACATTAATATTTTTAATTTTTAGTCAACTGGATTGATCGATGGGGTAGCTTTGGTTCATAAATAGTTGTCAGGTGGATATTAAATAGGATTCTCTTCCTTAATACATTTCTCAATTCCCTGTTGGCAGTGACATGACATAATCCTTCCTCCCAAAACTCATTTATTTAGTTATACATATTGGGAAAATGATACATACGGATCACTAAAATAAGTAAAAGACACTAAAGGATCGTAAATTTGCAAATCTCCCAGAAAAAGTACTTCTTTGCAAAATTTTAGAAACTTAATGACAAGTTGTAAATTATAGGCGGATTGAACAGCTTTTGGGATTTGTAACTAAAATTTCTCGAATTTAAAAATCGAGTTTTCACTTTTCACTTTTCACTTTTCACAATTTATAATTCACTTATAACTAAATATATTTTGTAATTTATAACCATGCTTTCGAGATTTACAATTAAGTTTTCAAAATTCGCAAGTATTTTCGATCATTCATTGACTTTTATACCTTTTTACCTTAAATTCTTACAAATATGTGATCTATTAATGTCATTTATTTTGTTTGGCTGTCTGGATGTGTCATTTCCTTTTTTTCTTTTCAAATAATATATATCAATTACCAAAATATATATCAAAATTATATTCATACACACTTTTTTGGGTATATATTAAGTATTAGAACCACTAAACGAAATTTTCCAAAAAAAAAAACAAGAAGACCATATGCTAGACGCACTTTCATTCCACTTTCCCCCTAATTCTCTTAATATGCTTGAATATTGAGGATTCAGACAGTACATATAAAGATCAATATATATGAAACTAGATCTCTGTAAACGTTAAGGGCTTTACAATTTATTAAGTATGATTTATCAGTAATGAGGGTGAATCTGAAGCAAAACAAAATTAAGCATCATGATGAGATATTATAATCAACGTACATGTGAGAAATCAAAAAGTGATGGAAAGTCAATATATGCTTGCTGTTTTTCAAAAAGGAAAAAAAAAAAAAAGTTCATATATGCTTTCTGTGAATGGGAAAAAAAAAAGCAAGATCAATTTGCAAAAGTATCTATCTTGAATACGTAAGATATATTATTGTAAGGTATATGATCCACCCACATGATTATTAACAATAATTGAAGATTTAAAATTAAAATTTCTATAAAAGACTATACTTTTTAAGTTTTTATAGTTACTTTGCTCCTGGTCGTTTTCAAAATGATAACGTGTTGATCCCTCTCTCTCTGTATATACATATGACATATGTGGATGAAAATGATCTCTATCCTATAACATTTATAAATGAGTATAAATTTAATTTAAAAGGCACAAGTAGCTAGTAGTAATTTCAATCTATTTAAAAAAAATTTAATTTTTGCGATTGGTTTCAAATATTCTGTTTTATTTTTAGCTATTGAAATTGAAAGACTATGACATAACACTTTTCTAATCAATAAAAAATGGAAGGCTTTGTCATGAATAAGAATATCTAAGTTACTTCAACAAAACTCCAAGAGTTAAAATAAATTTGCAAAGATTAATATTACTACATCTGATTTTTAATATAAAAGCTAGTTTAATATTCAATTTACTTTTAAGATATTGTTTCGTATGAGAAAAATGAAGGGGAAGGGAAGAAAAAAATGAGCTCTATTTAAAAAACTTGGAGAAGTGGGTTCTGAAATCTTAATAAAGAAAAGAAGTAACATAAAAGAGTAATAAAAATTAATTAAAAACTTTGAATCCCTTTTTTTAAAATTTTTTTAAATTGAGCCTATTAAAATTTTCCCTCCTCTCCCCTCCTTTCATTTTCTCTCGTACTAAACGAACCCTAAATATAATATCTCAATCTACTTTATTTCTCATATTTGTCTATTTTTTTTCAAAATAATCATTATAATAATTACAAATGTTAATGATTCTATCAAATAGTAATTCTAACTAATATACATAAATTGAAAAGGTATTTTAGGCAATATAACACATATTTATTACAAATAACTAATTTAACATACTCCCTTAATGTATTTAAATGACTTAACTAACTTTCATATTAAGAACTGGAAGTTGTATTATCTATCGGTCCTTGTATAGTTTGCTCGCATTGTTATTTTAGTCCATATACATATATGTGTGTGTAGTTTTTTATACATACATTTTAGTCCATATCATGCTTATTTAGTCCTTCTAACATGTTGGTTCTTCTCCTTTTATAAAAAATTGGATCTGAAGCTAACGATGTTAAATTGATGATGTGGCAGCAAAAATGTTAAAAATGTTGATGTGGGTTGCTGACTGGGTAAGATGACCATGTAAAATTGCCAAGTAAGCTTATGCCTGGCTGACCTGGAGATATGGGGGGGAAAACATGTAAGATAACTCCCTCTGCTTCATCTTCATCTCTCTGCTCTTCGACCCAGAAACAGAGCAATGAAGGGGCAAAGCTTCCTCTGACAAATCATCTCATCGTCTCAATCAGCTTCTAAATTGAATCCTAATAATAAAACGAATCTCATCAAGCTGAACTGATTCTAAAACTTGACTTTATTCCGTACTTTTTACTTGATTCCTTCCCGACACTTTCATTCTCCCAATCAAATCCTTTGTATATTCTTTATTTTTACGGTGGTAACAGAACAAAATTAAGAAAGAAAAACATACAGATATCAAACTAAAAATTAAGAAAAAATAAGTACTTTCTGCAGAATGATTTTCAAAGATTTGCCTTCTAATACCTGCCTTGGATTTTGTTTTATGCGTTTTTCTGTTGGCTTTGCATAGATTGTACGAAATGTTTCAATTTTTACGTGCGGCTCTGTTTTGGCTTTGTATTTTGTCGTACGTGGTCATAAGTTGGACTTTGATGGCAATTTTCAGCTCATGGTATTGAAGCCCAGTAATATTGAAACAAATAATAATAAATTTTTTTTATTAATATTAAAGTGCATCCAACACCTTAAAGTATTTTATGGTACATTTGATGCTTTGAAGTATTTTTTTGTCTTAATATTGGATATACCAAAAACATATTTTTAGTGTTGGATGCCGCTAAAAAAATTTTAAGTTACTGAATGCACTAAAAAATACTTCAAGATTCTAAATACACTTTAAAAAATATTTCAGAGTATTAGATGCACCACAAAATACTTTAAGATACTAGATGTATTTAAAAAAAATATTTCACGGCACTAGATACACCTTTTTATTAAAAAAAACAAATAAAACACATGAAAAACTAAGTTCATAGAGAGATCACTTGTTAATAATATGTTATATATCTTTGTCCTAAATAATGCCATGTGCTCACCATATATGTTTATACCCAACTTTATGTCTTTATCGATTGATAAGAGAGAGAGATATATATATATATATATATATGTATGTATATGTATAGACACGTACAAGTCAATTTAAAATAACGACAATAAAATAATACAGAGATATGTGTAATGCTCAGAGAAGCAACTTTATTCATTGAAATCAAATTAGTTCAGAAAGTGTTCATACAAAATGGCCAAAATCCCACAACAAAGATCAAAGAAAAAAGCTTGCCAAAATACGACCACTACTTATAGGCTACTACTTTCTTCTAAAATTAATATAAGAGTTAACCGGCAAGGGTGTTTACCATCACCTCAATTAATAATAGCTTATTGATGCACTATGACCCGACTTAACTCTTGTGACTTTGTAGAACCAAGTTTAACTATTACATATGAAATTCTCTAAAACAATTTCATATCCAGACAGTTTTATATTTCCCTACAATAAAAAGACATTCCTTCTGGCATTTGAACTGTCTTTTTAAGATTTTTCCTATAAGCATTGTTCAAATACAGAAACAGATCATCTTCAAATAAATCTTCCATACATTCCTAGAATCTCAGCTTTCTGTTGTTTAGGGAAGTTGAAATGACTCATGCAAAATCCATCTCGTCCAATTAAGACGTGGTCTGATTTTGTTACGCTGAAAGGAGGAAATAATTTATTAGAATATGTAATAATAATGAGTGAAAAACATGTTGATTTAACAAGGATGGGAAAAATACCGAAATTTCAACTACAGATGAAATTTGAAGAGCATCTGTGATGATTTGGATATTGCTAGTCAGCTTTTTGATCTGATGAAAAAGATAAGAAAAAATATCATCATTTAGTAATTACTTATAATGGGGGAACAAATGAAAAGATGTATCATCAATTATGATTTTTTTTCTTTTGTTTAAATAGTTTAGTTTTATTAGGATATTCAAGTTATCTGTTAAATAAATACATAGTTAAATTAGGGTTTGTAGGATTTGTCATTTGTCATCTCTTATCTAATTTAAGATTTATTTTATTTGAAATTTAAAGCTGAATTCTTAAGATTTCTGTCATATCAAAAAAATAAATAAAATGAAGCCCACATGTTTAGTTCAAATTAAATAAATGCTAATACATATACATACATATACATATATATTCATTTAAGTTCTAAGATTTAACTCAATAAGAAAAAGATGATCAAATAACATTCTTCATAGTAAAAATTTTAAAGAGCATTATATGTACGTTATGGGCCAGCTCAAACATCTTACCCTGGGAAAACCAGCTACTATTCGTATAGGAATCCAACCCTCATGATCCATTTGCTTTCGCAGGTAGATATCCTTAACTAAATTATCAAAACTGCCAAAGACAAGAGTATATCAGAAATACTAGGTAAATCAAGAAAGATTAAAGAAAAATCTAACACTTTTAAATCACTAATCTATAAAGATTAATTAAATTAATTAAATTAGTTAATTTTTTTTTAAAAAAAGTGTCTTGGTTTCTCTAATTTACTCTTTTTAATAATTTGTATTTGAAACTAGCCCATTGATTAAAAGAAAACCTTTTAATATAAGGAATCAATCGGGATAGTTTAAGAAAAAATTATAAATTTGAGACATAAAATAAATTGAAATCTTATATTTATAACCAAAACAAAACCCCTCAATTAGCTCCTATAGAAGGAAGTGTTGTATTAACCAAATGAGAATTATTAACCGCTGCACCTGAAGTAATAATCAATCTGTTTAACAATCTTAGCAGGTAACTCAGGATCTCGAGCTGCACGATTATTCATTATTGATGGCACATGATGAGGAGCTCCAATAAATGGCTCGAGAGTGGCATGATATGGAATATGACGACCCAAATCTGTAAGCGAATAGTCAGCCATCAAAAATATAAATATATCACGCAAAACTATAATTTTGATAACTAGAAAACTATCTTCATTAATCATTCACTCTGCCACTTAAGTACTCGTCTGCTTCTATGTATAAGTTTTAAATAACTGAACTTTTAACGAATTAGCAGTTAAAATTAGTTAAAATAATAAATAGGTTATAATTTTTTTCTTCTTCAAATTTTTTCTTATTTATTAAGAGAGTAAATGAGAGATAATAAATAAACAAAATGATGAAAGAGAATATATGAAGGTAATGTTAATGAGACACAGTACTAAATATAGTCAAATAAGGGCAAAATAAAAAAAAGTAATAAATGTTCAAATAAACTCAAGAATAAAATTTATATTTTGAACAGACTTATCTCAAAAATGATGCTTATATACAGGAACTGGAGGGAGTAATTAAATACAATTACAAACTCTCCAATTGGATGTTACATACCAGCTGGGAATCCATAAGAGACTCCATACGGTGGCGGCATTGGTGGTATTACGACGGGCGGTTGGGGAAAATAATAAGGGTAAGAATAAGATGCCAGAGGCGGCGGCCGTAGAGGAGGCGGCGGAGGTGGCCTTGCAAACATTGTATGGCCTCGAGGTGGTATATGCATGTTTCCGCTACGGAAATTCCCATGAGTGTTGCAATTTTGATTGATCATCCCATGTTGCCATGGAACAACGTTAACATTATTATGGATCTTTGTTCTATATCCAGTTATTGTAGTACTCCTTCGTCTATTGTGGCTTAAAGAGGAGTTGTGGGACCCTGTCCTGGACGTGGCACCACGACTTGCTGACTGTATCTGGCCGTGGATGCCGCTGGAAAACGCGCCGTTTTGACTCGTTAGTTCTTGTTGGTTTGTTGGCGCCAGAGTCTTATCGCTGGTAATTACTTGTTTCTTCGATGGGGAAGGTGGGCTTTGAGAGTCCTACATATAATTCGTAATTAAAATATAAAATTTTTTTAGATTTATTAACCGGAAAGAAAAATAAAGGGGGAAAAAACAAACCTGCAGTTGTAGTGAAGGTGATCGATCGGTCAAATCTTTGTATGACTCCGACGTCATCAGTTTCAAGCCCTCAGCCATACGCTCAGAATCATTCGCCGGCAAAGAGGAAGAAGCAGCGGTCGAGGATGAACATTCAGGCACCGTCGCCGGCAATGGCAACGACGACTTAGCATCAACACTAGCATAAGAATCGGATTTTGGGCGTAAAATATGAGCCGACGGTAAAGTAATGATAGAGATGTTATAAGAATGACATGGTGACGGAGGGTCAGTATGATTTTCGGATATTACTTCCGGCTGGCTTGTTGACACCATAGTCTCATCCTCAGCTTGTTTCTCCGACAGGGAAGGTGGGTTTTCAGGACCCTATATTTATATGTATTGGCAATCAAAATACTAATATATATTTTGAAAATTTATCAACATATTAAACCCAGAATAAACTAACAACTGAGGTAATATTCACATCAGAAGATATGAGAAGAAAATTATAACAAAAGAATTTTCCATGAATTTATCGTAATATTTTGGGCACAAAAAATGATCATATATTCGTCTCAAAATTGACAACGAAGTTTTTGTGATGCGGCAAACACCTGTGGGGGAAAGTTATGGCGATCATTTTTTTTTTTTTCATTATAAATTGAATTTATTTTGTTGTAGTCTAAATTTTATTTATCTAGGTGTACGTAGTATGAATATGAAAAATATATCAGCTCTAACATGTCGGGATGTTTTCAAGTATGTCAAAATTGCTGAGAAAACAATCCCTCAAACTCCAAATATTTAGAACTGACAAAAATAAATAAATAAATAGAAAGAAAGAACATAAAATTCAAAACTTCTCCTCTTGTAGGATAGATGACCCATCGGTCAAACCCCTATTAAATGACTCCGATGACAGTTTGAAACCCTCACCGACAGGTTCACAGTCATTCGCCGCGGATGAACGTTCAGCCACGATCGCCGGCAATGTTAACGACGACTTAGCAAGAACAGCAACATAAGTAGGTTTGGACGAAGAATTGATTGAAGCAGAAGTAATGATGGAGATATTATAGGAATCACTATGATTTTTAGACGAAGAAGAATTAATAAACTGAAACTCCATTGGCAAACTAAAACGATCCGAGTAGCCAAGGGTATGTTTGGTTGGCGTTGGGCAAAATTGACTTATAGTCCAACTAACTTTTATAATTGAAGTTAGAGTAAAAGTCAGTTAATGTAATATGATTTATATTTGGATATGTGCTTATAAAAAGTCAGTTGAAAACGTTGAAAGTTGTTTGAATGATTAATAAAAAATTTAGTTTAGTTATAAAATGACTGAAAAGGACATGAATTTTGTTGAATAGTAGTGTTTGAAATTTTATATTTTTAATGTGATAATAGTTTAAAAAATACATAAAATTATTATGATAAAATATAAATAGTTTATTTGTGAAGTTATAAAATAAAAATATTTGTTACGAAGAAAAATTTGAAAACACATTATAGATAATTAATTAAATATATATAATAGACAAACATGAATATAAATTAAAATTCATTTAGTCTCTAATTAAAGTAAATGAAATCATATAACTAATTAGATCGTAAACTTTGTACAATTTTTTCATAAGTCAGTCAGAAAAGTTGATCCCGATTGCGTTGGATAAGTTAGTTAGAAAAGTTACTTTTTCCTATAAGTCAATTACAAAAGAAGCCTCATCTAAACAATCTTCTAAGCCACAATAAATCACAAACCGTAGTTTCACACTTCCCTATATGTTTTTACCATTCCTAACGGCAATCCAAATGAGCCCTAAGACTATGGAAGAATTTGCTGCTTAACAACGTTAGTAAAAGTACAGAAACCTCAGGCCAAAAAAAAAAGAAAAACAAAAACAAAAGTATAGAAGCTTGATTAAATTAAACTTGAGTTCTCTCCCTCCTCTATGAGGTTTATCTTAAGATGGCTAGGGGTGTGTGTATACATATATAATGAATCGAGGGGCCTTCAGAATTCTAAGATTAACTTAGATTTATCTAGTTATTTTAGATTCCCATATGATGAGATCTGATTTAATTTTATCTGAATAATTTAAATATTAACCGATAATAACTATCATGGTAAGCAATTTACTTCAATAAAACATCAACTGACATTTATCTGGATTTTTTTTTTAATGTCTGAAATTTACTTTGAAATTTTATTATTAAATTTAATTTATAATTAACTTATTTTTTATTTTATTAATTTTGTTTTTAGATTATTTAAGTATTAATTCACTCCAAAACGCAATCATTTAACTTTTGAAACATATTTGGGTAAAAAGAATTCTGAAATATATAAAGACATTCACCTTCTTTTTTTTTTTCCCACACATCAATCTTTTCTTCTTTTTTTTTGGGCCAACGTTATACATCAATTCATCTTCTATAACAGTAATTGTTTGGGTAAGATTAACACTGTTAACTACTATCCTAACCTTACAGAATGTTAATTTATAATTTTTCAATCCATTTCGGCAAATTAAAAAAGATCCAAATTACTATCTTATTATTATTTATTAATTAATTTTATCTTTATTTATATATTTTTTAAGGTGTTAACTATTGCGAGTTGTTATCTTTATAATAACTAATCGGTTTCTCATAACTAGAAGGGATTTTTAAAGTTTACAAGAACACTTTGAAAAGGTTAAATAAACTTAAGAAACATGTAAGTGCCTGTTTGGATGGGGTTCCAAAAGCGCTTTCTTTCTTTCTTTTTTTCCACAGTAAACTATGGTTTCTGAAGGAATTAGCCAAACACCGCGCATAACCCAAAATCTGTTATACACCACAAAACCATGATTTCTCCTGTCCAGTGGGGAAGCGATTTTTCTGTTGCATTGCGTGGCCGTCACTGGAGATTCCCGCCACCCGGCATTGACCCAAATTTGGGTTCATTATATATTCATATACTACCTTCAGTCTTTAATATAAGACACTGTTTTACTTTTATTTTGATCTTAAATATAAGACCTTAATTCACTTTGTCTTTCATATTTACTCAATTTTTTCCAAGATAATCCTTCTAATAATTATAGTTCTAGTTAATACACTTGATTAGTAAGGATATTTTAAGGAAGACAACACCTATTTAGGACAAATAACTAACTCAACTTACTTCCTTAATTTTCTCAAATTAGTCAACTGACTCTTATAATTAGGACCGGAGGTAGTATTATTTAATCATTCTTGTTAAATTAGATTAAATTGTGTTCATATATATCATTAGAAATTTCTATATATAAAAAATAATTATATAAATACTAGTAATAAATTGCTTCCCAAATATGTGGGTATATATTATTTATTTATTAATCAGATGAAAAAATTATAACTTAAAATGTATACCTTATATAATAATCACATTCATTTATATCCTTTTTAGTAATTTAAATATTAAAAAAATAATTCTGATAACAATCATCTAAATATTCTAGTTTTATAAATATTATATTTTGTACAAAATCTATTCATCAAAATAACACACAACTACACAAAACCATATATGATTAGACAACATGATATGATTGATATAAAATATTTGATGTAAGTATTTTTCTTTATGTTATTCACTATTAGCAGACATACTATAAAAATAAAAACCAATATTTTAGCTGATTTTTTTCCATTTCAAGTCTTCTACTTTAACCTATTTTCTATTTTGTTTTGAAATAACTATCACTATGTGTTTTACAGTCTTAACATAACTTGAATCTACAACATTCATTTGAATGTTAGACAAACGTACTAAAGCACATCTTCGTCAATTCAAAATTCGGAGCTACAACTTTTATTAGACATATAAAAAGAATGTAATAAAGCAGATCGATCTTCACCAATTCTATGAAGTTTAATTAAATTATGGTGGGAATTGAATGAGTTTTGAAGCTCTTTAATACATTAGAATAATTGAATAAATCATTTAAAATATACCTCTGCTAATTAATATTTTTTCATCTTATGAATTCAAGGGTAGTAAATAATTAATTTGCTAACATAATGAGATAGCTAATGATAATTGACACATTTATTCTAACATATGTTCAAGCAGCGTACTTTAAAGTATGTAAGGATCAGATTCAGACAAGTGTTTAATCACAAGTTCTACAAGTTTTAAAAACACATAAATAAATATAAAATTAAGCTTAAGCTCAAAAAGTGTGAGAACTCATTCATATACACATATATATACATCCTGTTAAACTAAAACAATTCGAGTGAAGCCAAAAAAGTAGGGTTCTTGATGTAGATATTAAGTCTTATGACTTCGCATAACAAAATTGAACTATGATGGCTCAACCCGCCTCTTATTACATATCAAATGCTCTAAAAAGAATAGCCAAACACCGCACAAAACCAAAAATCTGATATCTACCCCAAAACCATGATTTCTATGATAATGGGAATTGAAAGCGGGGCATTTACTGGAGATGACTTCAATCTTTTTGAATTTTCTTCTCATCTTGAACTAATTCTTCCATCGATCCATAGATCATAGAAATGACTTGACTTCATTAGACCTTTGAAAGATTATATAGGAAATTCGAAATGAATCATCTAAGATCCATTTCATCCTATCAACACGTAGCCTGATTTTGTTATCCTGAAAAGAGGAAATAATTTGTTACAATATTGGATAATAATGACTGAAACACATATTAATTTAATCACATATTGTAAAAGTTAATTATACAAACAGATGTAATTATAATTAGTGTGAGAATAATACCGAAATTTCAACTATGGATGAAGTTTGAAGAGCATCTGCAATGATTTGGACATTGCCAGTCAACTTTTTGATCTGAAAAAAATGTAAAAGAAAAAATTTGATTAGTTAATGAATGCTGCAAAAATGTATGTCATATTCATACTAAGGAAAAACAAATGAAAGGAATTTAGATATTATTTTTTTCTATTTAAATAGGTTATTTTTATTATCATATTCGAATTATCTGTTAAATAAATATATAGTTAAATTAGGATTGGTAGGATTTGTCATTTATGTTATCTAATTGAAGATTTATTTCATTCTAAATTTAAAGATGAATTTATAAGATTTCTGCCATATTATAAAATAACATTATAAAAATGAAGCCCACATATTTAGTGCAAATTATATAAATACTAATATATATCCAGTTAAGTTCTAATATTTAACTCGATAAGGAAAGATGACCATATAAGATTCTTCATATTAAAAATTAAAAAAGCATTATATATACACATTACACATAAAAGGTCGCAAACATCTTACCCTGGAAAACCTGCTATTGTTCTTATGGGAAGCCAACCCTCACGATCCATTTGCTTTCGCAGGTAGATATCCTTAACTAAATTATCAAAACTGCCAAAGACAAGAGTATATTAGAAATGCCAGGTAAATCAAGAAAGATTAAAGAAAAAACGAATACTCCCGTTAATTCCAAATATAGGAGTTAAGTCACTAATTTATAAAGATTAGTGAAATTAAGTATTTGAAAAAATTTATTTTAATTTCTCTAATTATAATTTGTGTTTGAAACTATCCCATCCATAAAAACCCACTTTAGTATGTATACGAAATTAATATGAATAGTTTAAAGAAAAAATATAAATCTGAAACAGTCTTATATTTGGAATCAAAACAAAGTCTACGAGGATTAACGGTTGTGCCTGAAATAGTAATCAATCCATTTTACAATCTTAGCATGTGAGTTGAGATCTACTTATCGATGGCACATAAGGAGAACCAATAAAGGGAGGAGGTGCTGGAGTGGCACATGCATGTTTCTGCCACGGAAACTCATATGAGTAGTGTTGCAATTTTGATTGATCCAGTGGTGCTGTGGAACAAACTTAACATTATACTACCTCCGGTCTTTAATAGAAGATCTTGTTTGACTTTTATTTTGATCCTAAATATAAGACCCAATCTACTTTGTCTCTCATATTTATATACTCCTCCGGTCTTTAATATAGGACCCAATTCTTGAGTTGGTTTTGGTCCTAAATATAAGACAAATTTCTCATATTTATCATTTTTCTCTAAATTACCCCTATGGATACTCCTCCAACCATAATCAAGTAGAAGAGGGAGATGGGGTATTAAGAAAGATGATTATGGTGTTTTAGGAAAAATGTATCACTTTTCTTATAATTAAACCTGCAATTGTAGTGAAGATGATCGATCGGTCAAATCTTTGGATGACTCCGACGTCATCAGTTTCAAACCCTTAGCCATAAGTTCTGAATCCTTCACCGGCAAAGACGAAGAAGCAGCGGTGGCGGATGAACATTCAGGCACCGTCGCCGGCAATGGCAACCACGACTTATAAGCATCAACAGCAACATGAGAATCGGATTTCGGACATAAAATATGAGCAGACGGTGAAGTAATGACGTTTTAAAGATTAACTTAGATTTATCTAGTTATTTCAGAATCCCATATGATGAGATCTTATATAATTTTATCTGAATAATTTAAATATTAACCAATAATAACTATCATGGTGAGCAATATACTTATATGCATCAATTCATCTTCTATAGCAGTAATTGTTTGGGTAAGCTTAACACCGTTAACTACTAGCCTAACCTAACAGAATATGTTGATTTATAATTTTTCAAGCGAATTAGGAAAATTAAAAGAAAATCCAAATTACTAGCCTATTATTATTTATTAATTAATTTTATCTTGATTTTGGAATTTTAAAAAATATTAAAATTATTTATCATAATCTAAAATTAACTAGATTATATTCATTATATATAGATAAAAATTTTAATTTATATATTTTTTAGGGTGTTAACTATTACGAGTTGTTATCTTTATAATAATTGGGGAATCCCATTAAATCTGATTAAAATACCTAAATTTAAATTCAAACTTACACTTTTAACAAATTTTTAATTAGGTCATGAGGTTTCATTAAAATTTTTTAATGTTGTTAAATGAACAAAATACCCATCTTTAATTAAAAAGAAAAATTATTGTTTTACTCCTCCTAAATGGTTACTTTTTTCTCTTATGATTAATTTTTGGCACTAAAAAACATATAAATAATTTTATAATATTTAAAATTTGTATATATAACTAAAACCTTTAAAAATATTTTAATCAAATATTTTAAATTACAATATAAGTACTTTTTAAATAAAAAATTTTTATTTTCAGGTTGTAAATATTTATTTTTAAGATTTTAAAATATCTTAATTATAAAAAATATTTTATATTAAGTTGTTACAAATTACGTTTTTGGGTTGAAATCCAATGTTTGCTTAAATAAATAAAACTAATATAAATTATAATAACATATTATCAAATTTTTTTTAATGAAAATATTTTAAGATCTTAAAATAAATATTTACAAATATAAAATAAAAATATTTATTTTAAGGCTATTTATATTTAAATTTAAAATGTTTCATTAAAATATTTTGAAGATTCTAGTTATATATACAAATTTTGAACGCTATAAAAAATTTTATGTGTTTTTTAATCTTAAAAATAATCGTAAGAAGTGATAGATCACTTGGGAGAGTAAAGTAATTAATTCTTTATTTTAATTAAAGAAATACATTCTAATAATTTAACAACATTCAAAATTCTTAAATTATGACTCATATCCTAATTAAAAATTTATTAAAAGTGTATGCCTTAATTTAGATATATATATTAACCAGATTTTATTAGGATTTTTTCTAATAACTAATCGGGTTCTCATAGTTTACATCTTGAAAAAGTAAAATAAATTTAGATCTGTTATGCGCCCCAAAAACATGATTTCTCCGATCCAATGGGGAAGCGATTTTGCTGTTGCACTGTTGCGTGGCAGTCACTGGATATTCCCGTCACCCAACCTTGACCCGAATTTGGTTTCATTATATATTCATACGCGTATTATTTAATCATTCTTGTTAAATTAGATTAAATTCTATTCATATATCATTAGAAATTTCTATATATAAAAAATAATTATATGACTAATAAATTGCTTCCCATATATTTGGGTATATATTATTTATTAATTAATTTGATAAAAAATTATAAATTAAAATGTATACTTTATATAATTATCATATTCATTTATCTCCTTTTTAGAAATTTAAACATATAAAAATAATTCCGATAACAATCATCCAAGTGTTTTAGTTTTATAAATATTATTTTTTTTTCATAAAATCTATTCTCCAAAATAACATATAACTACACAAGATTGGAGAACTTGATGTAATTGATATAAAAAAATTTAATGTAAATATTTTTCTTTATGCTATTCACTATTAGCGGACATAATATAAAAATAAAACCCAACATTTTAGCTGATTTTTTTTTCATTTCAAATCTTCTCCTTTAACCTATTATATATATATATTTTTTGAAATAACTATCAATATGTGTTTTTCAATCTTAAAATAATTTGAATCCACAACATTCATTTGAATGTTAGAAAACGTACTAAAGCACATCTTCATCAGTTTAAAATTTGGAGCTACAACATTCACTGGACATATAAAAAGAATGTAATAAAAAAGATCGTCACCAATTCTATGAATTTTAAATTATGGTGGGAATGAGTGTTTTGGACCTCTTTAATACATTAGAATAATTGAATAAATCATTTAAAATACATCTCTAGCCAATTAATTAATACTTTGTCATCTTATAAATTTAGGGGTAGTAAATAATTAATTTGTTAACGGAATCAGATAGTTAATGATAATTGACACACCTATTCTAACATATGTTCAAGCAGTGTACTTTAAAGTATGTAAGGATCAGATTCAGACAATTGTTTAATCACAGGTTCTACAAGTTTTAAAAACATACAAATAAATATAAAATTAGGTATAAGCTCAAAAAGTGTGGGATCAAGTTGAGAACTCATTCATATACTCATATATATACATCCTCTTAAACTAAAACAATTCGAATGAAACCGAAAAAAATAGGGTTCTTGATGTAGATACTAAGTCTTGTGACTTTGCATGACAAAATTTACTATGATAGCTCAACTCACCTCTTATTACATATCAAATGCTCTAAAACAATTTCAGATCCTACTGTTATATATTTTTCGTAAAACAGAAAACAATTTTTTTGACATCTGAACACCTTTATGTCACTTTTATACTAACAAATATATACAACAACAAAAAATGCACTAAAACTCGTCGGCTTAACTTTCTGATGCAAATGAATTTTCCTCAGACCTCTTTGAAAGGAAGATGAAATGAATTATATAAGGTCCATCTCTTCAAATCAACACGTGGCCTGATTTTGTCATCCTAAGGGGAGGAAATGATTTGTTACCATAAAAATATCAAAATGTAACAGTTCATGAAGTTTGAAGAGCATACTTTATGCTGGTCAAAAATGAAGAGCATATGTTATAATCTGGATACTGCTAGTCAATTTCTTAATCTTAAAAAGAGAGAAAAATATCCTTTGTTAATGAATGCTGCAAAAAGATATACAATATTTTTATGCATACAAGGAGGGTAAAAAATAAAAAGGAAGCGTCGTTAATATATCATTTTATTTAAGATAATTATGATTTATTATTTTATTTAAATAGGTTATTAGGATTTATTGTTTATATTATTTTAATTTATTTTTAGTTCATTTTAAATTTAAATCTGAATTTAAAATTTCTGTAATTTTAAAGAATAGCATTCTCTATATAAAAAAAATGAAGCATACATATTTAGTGCAAATTATATAAATGTTGAACAAATATATATCACGTTAACTTTTAAGATTCAACTCAATAAGAAAAGATATATAATCAAATAACATCATTCATATTAAAAATTGAAAAAACATTATATATACACATTATACATACAAGGCAATCTTAACATCTTACCTTAGGGAAACCAGCTAAGACAATCGAAGAAAGCCACTTAACAGCGCAAGTGAAAGTAGAAATTTAAAATTTAAAGATTAACTTAAGACTTGTCTAGGTTTTTTGAGATTACCATATGATAAGATCCGATTTAATTTTATCTGAATAATTTAACTATTAACCAATAACTATATCACGGAAAACAATTAAGCTCAATAAAATATCACCTCACATTTATCCGAAAATATATATTTTCAGCGTCGGAAATTTACTTTGAAAATGTTTTATTGAATTCAAATTATAATTAACTCAAGTTTTAAATTTATTTATTATTTTAAATTATTTAAATACTAATTCACTACAAAACGCAACCATTTAAATTTGGAAACATATGAAAAATTGAACTTCTATTTTTTTTTAATACATCGATTCATATTCTATAACACTGGTGTTTTTTTTTTTTGGGGTAAGATTAACATGGTTAACTCACCTAACCTAACCTAACAGAATTTGTTGATTCATAATTTTTCAAGCCATTCCTCAAATAAAAAAATCCAACTTACTTATCTTATTATTATTTAATAATTAATTAATTAATTTTATCTTGATATTAGAATGTTTTAAAATATTAAAATTATTTATCATAAAATAAACTTGATTATATTCACTTTACATAGATAAAATTTTAAAGTTGATTAATTAAGTTGTTAACTATTAATGATTTGTTATTTTTATTTAGTGTGTATCGGGTTCTCATAAATAGATTGAATTTAAAGTTTTTAAGAACATTTTTAAAAAGTAAAATAAAGTAAACCATAGTTTCTGGATTAAAAAAAAGAAAAAAGCGAAACACCGTACAAAACCCAAAATCTATTGTGATGTCCAGCCCAAAGCCATGATTGCCGTGATAATGGGAAAGGACATCCCAAAGCCATGATTGCCGTGATAATGGGAAAGCGTCGCAGTCACTGGAGACTCCCGCCACCCAGACCCAAATTTGGTTTCATTATATATTCGTATCTGATGCGTTTGTGTGCGCGTATATATTATTATTATTATTATTATTATTATTATTATTATTATTATTAATTTCTATATATATTAAATAATTATATAAATAATAAATTGCTTGCCTTATGTGTGTGTATAATTTATTTATTAATTAATTAGATGAGAAAACAAAATTATAAATTAAAATTTATACTTTATATAATTATCGAATTAACTTATAAAAATAAATTCTGATAACAAGCATCCTAATATTTTGATTTTATTAATATCTCTTTTTTTCACAATTTATTCTGCTCAAAATATTTTTTTTTTCAATCTGTTTTATTGAGATACATGTACAATACTCAAAAAAGGTACATTGAACCTGTAACTGGACCAATACTTAGACTACTACTTCCTCCTAGACCCAGTGTAAAATCTGTTAGCTTATCATCTCAACTAGTAGCTTATCATCTCTGTTAGCTTAGCATCTCAATTAACAGCTTATCATCGCCTGAGTTAGCTCTTTTTCAACTAATTCTTCAATAGATCCATAGAAGTGACTTGAGCTCATCAGACCTTTGAAAGATTAGGGAATTCGAAATGAATCATCTAAAATCCATTTCATCCAATCAACACGTAATCTGATTTTTTTATCCTGAAAAGAAGAAATAATTTGTTACAATATTTGATAATAATGATTGAAACACATGTTAATTTAATCACATATTCGAGAAGTTAATTATACAAACAAATGTAATTATAACTAGTGTGAGAATAATACCGAAATTTCAACTACGGATGACGCTTGAAGAGAATCTGTGATGATTTGAATATTGCGAGTCAATTTTTTGATCTGCCAAAAAGTAAAAGAAAAAATTTGGTTAGTTAGTGAATGCTGCAAAAATGTATAAGATATTCATACTAAGGAAAAGCAAACGAAAAGAATTTTGATATTGTTTTTTTTAAGATAATTATAATTTTTTCTTATTTAAATATGTTATTTTTATTATGATGTTTAAACTAATGTAAGATTTATTTTCTTTTAAATTTAAAGTTTAATTTAAAAGATTGCTGCCATATTAAAAAAATAACATTATAAAAATGAAGCCCACATATTTAGTGCAAATTATATAAATGCTAATGTATATCCAATTAAGTTCTAATATTTAACTCGATAAGAAAATATGATCAAATAACATTCTTCATATTAAAAATTAAAAAAGCATTATTTATGCACATTATGCATAAAAGGTCGCAAAAATCTTACCTTGGGAAAACCTGCTATTATTCTTATGGGAATCCAACCCTCATGATCCATTTGCTTTCGCAGGTAGATATCCTTAACTAAATTATCAAAACTGCCAAACACAAGAGTATATTAGAAATGCCAGGTAAATCAAGAAAGATTAAAGAAAAACGAATACTCCTGTTAGTTCTAAATGTAGGAGTTCAATCACTAATTTATAAAGATTAGTGAAATTAATTATTTGAAAAAAGTATTTTAATTTCGCTAATCATAATTTGTATTTGAAACTATCCCATCAATAAAAACCCACTTTAGTATATATAAGAAATTAATATCAATAGTTTAGAGGAAAAAAATATAAATTTGAAACTGTCTTATATTTAGAATCAAAACAAAGTTTTTGAGGATTAAAGGTTGTACCTGAAATAGTAATCAATCTGTTTTACAATCTTAGCATGTAAGTCGAGAACTACTGGAGCTAAAACATTCATAGGATAATGTCTTATTGATGGCACATAAGGAGAACCAATAAAGGGACGAGGTGCTGGAGTGGCATGATATGGAACATGAGAACCCAAATCTGTAAATAAATAGCATATATATATAGTCAGCAACCAAAAATATAAATATCATGGAAAAATATAATTTTAGTAGCAAAAAAGCTAGAATCACTCCGTCACTTAAATAATTAAATACTCACACAGGCAGAATAATTCAGGCCATATAATTAACAAAATTTATACGTTATTAGAACTTAGAATTGGAGATTTGCAGACCTGGGGACCCATAGGAAACTGAGACTCCATAAAGTGGGGGCACTGGTGGCTGGGGCAAATAATAAGGGTAAGAATAAGATGCCGGAGACGGCGGAGATAGAGGCGGCAGCGAAGGTGGTGGAGGCGGCCTTGCAAACATTGTAGGGCGGCCTCTATGTGGCATATGTATGTTTCCTTCATGGAAACTCCTATTAGTGTTGGAATTTTGGTTGATCCCACGTTGCTGTGGAACAACGTTACGGATCATTGATCCATATCCACTTATTCTAGTTCTTCTTGGTCTATTATGGCTTAAAGAGGAGATGTGGGACCCTGTTGCCGACGTGGCACCATGAGTTGCAGATTGTAGCTGGCCATGGCTGCCGCTCAGAGACGCACCGTTTTGACTCGTTGGTTCCTGCTGGCGAGTCTCATCACTACTGACTTGTTTCTCTAATGGGAAAGGTGGCCTTTGAGAACCCTGTATATAATTGGAAATTAAAATATCAGAAAAAAAATTTAAGATTTATATCAACATGGAGTTTTCACTGATTTTGCTAAAAATATAGAGAGAGAGAAACCAAACCTGCAATTTTAGCAGTGAAGTAGATGATCCATCGGTCAAACCTTTGGATGACTCCGACGCCATCAGTTTCAAACCCTCAGCCATGGGCTCAGAATCATTCGCCGGCAAAGAGAAAGGTGCGGTGGCGGATGAACATTTAGCCACCGTGGTCGTTGGCAATGTCAACGACTTAGCGACGACAACAGCAGCATAAGTAGGTTTCGACGAAGAATTGATTGAAGAAGTTTCAGACTTGGAAGGTAAAATATCAGTCCTCAGTGAAGTAATGACGATAGAGATATTATAAGAATCACGTGGTGGTGTTGGAGGGTCGTTATGATTTTCAGATGTTAGTTCCGGCCGGCAGCTTGTTGACACCGTGGTCTCATCACTACTGACTTGTTTCTCTGATGGGGAAGGTGGGCTTTCTGTACCCTATATATAATTCGAAATTAAAATATTAAAATATTTTGAAAGATTTATTACTGATATGAGAAAAAAATAATAAATCCAATAATCGAATAATAAAAAAAAGAAATGAACATGAAGAAAAACCAAACCTGCAGCAATTGTTGTGAAGACGATCCATGGGTCAAACCTTTCGATGACTCCGACGTCATCGGTTTCAAACCCTCAGCTATAGGCTCGGACTCATTCGCCGGCGAAGACGAAGATGCGGTAGGTGATGTACACTTAACCACCGTCGCCCGCAAAGACTTAGCAAGAACGGCAGCATAAGTAGGTTTCTTCAACGAAGAAGAATCACTGATTGTTGGAGAAGTACCAGACGTCGTGGAAGCTAAATTATCAGTTCCCGGCGAAGTAATGATAGAGATATTATACGAAGTGCCACTGCAATTTTCAGATGATGAAGAGTCTCCGAAGTTCTTATTCTCCATCCGCAAACTAAAACGATTCAAGTATAGTTAAGACGATCGTGGAAACCAAAAAAAAGAAGAGCCACTTAGGGATATGGAACGAAACTAAGAAAATTTTAGGGTTTTGTTTTGATGCAGAGAAAAAGAAGAAGAAAATATGAGAGGATGGAAAGAAACAGAGTCAGTGAAATTGACCAGACTCTCGGGTTCTCCCGCTCCTGTTCTCGCGGGCCTTCTCAATTTATATATATAGTGGCGTTAAATTTGAAGGTGAAGATTTGTATTAAAAAATTAAAGATGAAGATTGATCCATTTTTTGATTCTGATATAATGAAATCTGATTTCACTTTATCCAAATAATTTGAATATTAACCAACAATTATCATAGTAAACAATATAATTAAGCTCAATAAAACATTACCCGTATGTGATTCATCGTCCGGAAAAATGTTTTTAATATCTTATATTTATGCCGGAAAAATATCTTATATTTAGATTATAATTCACTTGAGGTTTAACTCTATTTAATTTCTTTAATTTGACTGTTTAAATATTTAACTCAGTCATATTTAATTTTTAGGTTTTATTTTTTCAAGAATTAATTTTAATCATAGTTAATACCCGTTGCACTTTCAATATAACAAATATTCTTGCTTTGGAATAATTTCAAGCCTGTTGATCTTATTATAATTTTATGATATTCGCATCATTCTTTTATGGCTTTTAATTTTGATAAATTGAACTATTATATTAATGGAATGAATATTTAAAAATACTTATAAAAAGTATTTTTGCAGAGTTTAAAAAAATAAAAATATTTTATTACTTATATTGGGAACAAATTACACCCCACACCAGTTTTTGAAATTCATCCCTATTCATGCTACTCATTTTGGATCAATGCAAATTCACGAGGCCAATAATATATAACATGAACATGAAAATTCTAATGGTAATATTTACAAGTTGTAAAGAATATGGTTAATGCCCCATCCTTACCCACTTAACGGACTTGCGCTAGTTGCATTAAAAATAAGAACTAAAAAGCATAGTCCCAAGAAACACATCTGAGCAAAAGATCGATCATTTATAAAAGAAATGCACTTCTATTTACTGATTAGGATTTTAAATCAATAATCAATACTCCTTCCTGTTCAAAATATAAGCTAAACTTTCTTAAAGGGGTTGATTTTTTTTATAAGATAGTAACATTTACTTTTGTACAAGTATTTAATGAGATTTTTTCAATTTTACCTCCATATATTCTCTCTCCTTTTTAATTCATTTATTACATCTTTTACTTATTTTCTTCATTAATAATGGTATATTAGGAAAAACAAATAGATGCCTTAAACATTTATTGTTTTAAATTGATTTTAATTAGTTTCTTGATAAACGTAATAGATAAAGTTTAGCTTATATTTTGAACTGGAAGGAGTATAAGATTAGCATCAATAAACCAAAAACTATTTTCAAGTCGTGAACAATATTATATTGCTTATTCATTACATATTCAAGGTATGAAAATGGCCCATCTAATCTAATATAATCTAATTCTAATTCTATAAATTGTAGTTTTCAGAGGCTTTTTGGTACACGTATCGCTTTGCAACGGCGACATAAAGACCTAAATTCAAAAACCCTAAACCAGCAAGCAAATAATAAAAATAATCAAGGCGTGACCTATTCAGATGATTCCCAAGCCATTTCCCTTTGCTTGTTGTCTCCACAATAGATATAATACCACTACTTATAAAGCTTCCAACCCCAAAATTACCAATATAAAGTGCAGCCCCTATGCTTCTCATAGATTCTGGCATTTGTTCGTAGAACAACTGCTGAAAACCCACGATCGCAAAAGCCTCGGAAACCCCACAAAGAATGTATTGAGGAAGCAACCACCAAACCCTAATTGGCAATATTGCTTCTGAATCGTCCAAGAGATTGTGCTCACTTGCTAATTTAACCCTTTTGGCCTCAACTAGGCCAGCCACAAGTATGTATAAGTTAGAAATGAACAGTCCAATGCCTATTCTTTGAAGTATTGTGATCCCTGTGGGTTTGCCTGTGAATTTCCTCATAAGAGGAACAAAGAATTTGTCATAGATTGGGATTACGATGATAGATGCTAGGCAAGGGAAGGCTAAGAGTGATGCTGGGGGGATATTAAAGTGGGGTCCAATAGATCTCACCATTGTACTGCCTTGTTTGGTGAAGAAGGTTCCTACTTGAGCTTCAATTACACTGAGGAACAAGAATGCTAGCCATGTGGGTATGAGGCCAAACACTAACTTCATTTCTTCTACTTGGTTTAATGTGCATAGCCTCCAAGGGTTTCTTGTGTTGCTTGATGCATCGATATCATCAATTATCATTGCCTTGTCCAAATACCTGAAGCAAAATGTGCAAGACTTATTAAAGCTGTTTAGATTACTTCTATAATCAATTACGAGATCGCCAAAACCATGGTTTTCTTGAAGAATATTTAAACATCGCTATAAATGCTGAAATTAATTATGAACCCAATAGACCCATGTATGTACCAAAATCAACTATGAACCAAACAACCTATTCATGTCAAAACCAATTATGAAAAGTTGGTGACGGTAGCTTATGAGATAACCATTTGATTTTGGCATGTATAAGATAGATGTTTGGTAACTTATGACATGGGTATGGTTTTGGGTTCATGATTAATTTTAAAGTGTATAAGGATGTTTTGGCTTGAGTTTATATTGAGAGATTTCTATGAGGTCCTAAAAAAGAAAAATAATTATTAAAAAAATTTCAATGACTGAGTGACTAAAAAATATTGTCATAAAAACTTGTCACTACAAACTGTTTAGTTGTTGTAAAACTTTTTAGTAATTATTCTCTATTTGAAACCTTATAGTAATTCTCTGTAATTATTTTGACATGTCTAAGGGTGTTTGTATTTTTTTAATTAAAAAACCATGGTTTTGAGCTGGTTCATTTTTCAACACATGTAATAATAGTTCACGTCTAAAAGGAATATAATTTAAATGATAAATTTTCAGAGTACCTAAAATGTTCAGTGCGAGCAAGGGTCTTAAATTGAGGCCCCCCAAGTATGCTGCCATTGGCAGTATCTCCATAACAAATACCTCTTCCATCACGAGTCTCATCCACGCGCCGCTTTCGAACCGCGGCTACTACCACTTGCGCCGCTGTAGTGAAAGGACTGCCAAGTGGCCCTTGCTTTTTATACCTCTTTATCCCTATCAAGAAAATACCAAATGCGATGGCCATAGCCGCGGCTATAATGCCAAACCCTATGTCCCATCCTATGTTATCCTGAATTTACAAATTGCCATCAAAACAATAACTAAGATATTGGATCATACAAAATAATTAATTAATATACATAATTTATCCAAAAAATTATCTTGCTTAATTGATGACTCATTCTCTCAAAAAAAAAAAAAGGTCAAAACTCCACATTTTGTATTATTTTGCAACTACTCGGTCTCTCTTATTTTAAATATAAACTTCAATTCATTTTGTTTCCTAAAATTGTACTTTTTTTTAAACTCTCCCTATTGATTACTCATGTATGTTAAAGGAGTTTTTTTCATTAAGGGAGTATAGTTTCCAAAAAAAAATAATTAAAATGAGTACTTGAAAAAAAAACCAATACATATTTCTTACAAAAAACTAATTAACTTAACTATTTTTTTTTAATATTTGAAAATTAGTTATTTAGCTCTTATATTTAATTAGGATTCGAGGGAGTATTATAATGGGACAAATATGAGGAATGATGGAGTAATACGTACCTGGACATAAGTAACACCCACCGCTGAAGATAAAGCACCAAAGACAATGCCCAAGAACCACCAATTGAAGAAGGAAGTCTTAGCCATAATCTCTTGAGGCGATGACTCGTCGAATTGATCAGCAGCAAATGTTTGAATGCATGGCTTGTGTCCTCCTTCTCCCATCGATAATGTGTAAAGTGCTATGAAAAACACTAACCTTCGATTCTGCACAGAAATCACTGGCGACGCTGATACTGTCAACAAAACCGTTCCCTGCGTTCATAAGTTGGGACAAAATTTAGATCAAGTTGCTTATATCTGATGGGTCGGATTCTCCGAACACACTTATTATTTTGTTATTGTTAGTTGTTAAAATGTGTAGATGTAAGTACCAAGAGATATATGATGGAAGAGATGATGATGGTGATGAAACGACCAAGGTATGAATCAGCAATGAAGGCTCCCGCCAAAGGAAACACGAGGGAGACGCCACCCCATATGTTCACAGTCTGTGCAGCTCTCACTATTGGCTCTTTCAAAACATTGGTAAGGAAATTTATTAAGTTCCCAACTAAGCCATAGAACGCAAATCTCTCTGCCATCTCCACAACTGCGTGCATTTCAACAAACACATTTTTAGCTTCTTAATTAATTCATGAGACTTTATTGTGATACATGTGATCAAGCATATATAGATATGTGTGTGTGTATATAGTGGTTAGAGAGAGAGAGAGAATATATACATATGATGAAGATGGCAGCATTCCAGCCACCTTTGGAGGGTTTGTGAACACTTGAACTGTTGCTGCCTTTTACTGCAGATTTCATGCAATTCATTGCTGCTTAGCTATATGAAACACAACCTAATTAAAGTCTGAAGAAACCTTTGTGAGGTTTGATCAACTAGAAATGTTTCAGCTAGCTTTAATTGTGTGTGGTATGGCTATATCATATACTTAATGGTTATGTGTGTATCAGTAAAGAAATTGACAGGGGTCAAGATCAATTTTTTGGCTGTAAAAGTTAACAAAGGGATAGCGTTTTTCTACAAGTTGCATCTTAAAATGGCATTTTGATTTGATTTGATTGGGACAAACAGCCAATATTCCTTTGTCTTTCTTTTTCCTTTCTTTTTTAATTATTTGCGAAATTCGTATTCTTGCTATTGAAAGGATACGAGAGATTTTCTATCAATCACATAAGTTTTTGTCGCTCGCTCTCCAAATACATCATTACACGCGCAGGGATCGATGTAATTTTGTTATCAACATGTGCTAGCTAATTAAACTCTATGGGAAGCTCTATAGTATATGTCTCAAGCTCCAACAAAAAAAATATCATCTGATCAATTGACCAGCAAATTAAATTTGGTCTCCATGATAAACCTATGAAGATTTAATTTGGAGGTCCCGAGGTTCAAACATCAAGCAAAAAGAAAATATCATCTCAATTGATTAACATCCTTAATTATACTTGTGATTAAGATTATTTGGATTTATTATTAGCTGACTACAAAGCTTAGTTAATTCTAACACAGGTGGAAGAATTTTACAACTTCTCCACCTGACCATACAAAATACTTCCTCTTATCCTTATTATAAGCGCCTAATAACAACTTTATATAAATCAATTAAATTAATTAAAGTTAGTCATTTTTTTATAAAATATCAAAATTACTCTAAATAAAAGTCATTAGTAGTTAGAGAAGTTAGGTTAATTACTTAGGAAGTTTTATAGTTAGTATATTACGAAAGATGCTGAATGTCGTTATAACAACGATTGGAGGGAATAAAATATTAAATACTATGAGAGACATGAAGATTTGTTGTCTTATGCTTATGTATCTATATTCACTATTGCATAACATATTTCGCTATGTATGTTTATATTATTGTTCACAGATTATTTAGTGTTCATATATGTTAGCTTATCAATCCTGCAAGTGCAGATATAGCACTGAACATTACGATCGGAACCACAGGAGGAAATGAATCTCATCTCTCCAACAAAATTTAAGAGGTATTTTGATTAGCTTTGTAGAAGTGATTTTACGGAATGTGAGATAAATATGCAAGAAAATTTTTATCTTAAATTGTATAAAAGTACTATTTTAAAAGATTCCAAACACCCAACTAATTAAAGAAGCAAAAGCACGATCATTAAAATTAAAGCAAATAATAAAGACAAAACACAAAAGCAAAAAATAATAAGAAATAGAGTTAATATAACCTTTAATCTTTTAAATTTGACCTCGTTTTGGTTATAGTCCATAAAGTTTTAAATCAGAGATTTTGGTCTCTCAAAAAGCAAAATGATCCAGAAATTTATTGAATTATAAGGGCCAATATTTTAAATGGAAAGAAACTTAAGGGATTAAAACTTATGCTTTGAAACTTGAAAGATTAAAACCAAAATGAGAGAAACATGGAGGGACCATAAATTATATTAACCCTAAGAAATATAACTATATTCCTTATCACAACTCAAATGCTTTGTGCATGCTGGGTGGCAAACAATAACATAAAACAAGTTTAAAACATGCACAATAAATAAATGTTTTAGAATATATAATATTTATATACTGATAAACCACACTATTCAAAAGCCGTGAACAGTGCTCATTTTTTAGACTCTGTACAATAAGCAATAAATGTATTATGAAGAAATATACTTCACCGTACCTGGTCTACTTCAAAATCTAACACTTTAACCCTTAAAATTATCATAAATCAAAATCAAATGTCTGAGATTTTATATCAAACCAAACTATTTTTCAAGTTGGTAAACAATGCTGCTTCTTAATTACATATTGAAAATGCCTACCTAAATATTGTTTAAAAGTTGTAATTTTCAACGGCTTTTTGGTACTCATTCCGCTTAGCAACGACAACAAAAATAATTAAATTCAAAACCCCTAAACCAGCAAGCAGATAATAAAAATAATCAAGGTGTGACCTATTCAGATTATTCCCAAGCCATCTTCCTCCGCTTGATTTCTCCACAATCGATATAGTACCACTACTTATAAAGCTTCCGACCCCAATATTACTAATATAAAGTGCAGCCCCTATGCTTCTCATAGACTCAGGCATTTGATCGTAGAAAAAATGCTGAAGCCCTACCATCCCAAAAGCATCAGAAACTCCACTCAGAATGTACTGAGGAAGCAACCACCAAACACTAATTGGCAATATTGCTTCTGGATCGTCCAAGAGATTATGATCACTCGCTATTTCAACCCTTTTGGCTTCAGCCAGGGCAGCCACAAGCATGACTAGAACAGAAAGGAATAAGCCAATGCCTAGTCTTTGAAGTATTGTGATGCCTGTAGGTTTGTCTGTGAATTTTCTTATGAGAGGCACAAACAGTCTGTCATAGATTGGGATTATGATAATAACAGTGAGGAAAGTGAAGCCTAAGAGTGAAGCTGGTGGGATGTTGAAGTGGGGTCCACTGGATCGATCCATTGTGCTTCCTTGTTTGGTGAAGAAAGTTGTGACTTGAGCTACAATTATACCGTTGTACAGGTTTGCTAGCCATATGGGTATGAGGCTTATCACTAGCTTCATTTCTTCCACTTGGTGTAATGAACACAGCCTCCATGGATTTCTTCTATTGCTTGTTGCATCAAAGTCGTCAATGATCATTGCCTTGTCCAAAAATCTGAAACATGTTAAAAGTGTAAATTAAGTTATGCACGTGATATATATGTATATATTAATGATAATTAAGATCATGACTATGTTCAGGGAAAAAGTTTAATCATGATGCAAATAAAATATATGGAACTTAATTATTATTTGTTTTCTTGTACTGTACACTCATCTAAAGCACTTTTGTTTCTTGTGAATACCACCACGTTAGCTTTTTTGAAAATAATTGGCATTGAGGAATCTCTCCTGGTTGATATAATCTTTGCATCATTGATGTGGCATCCAATCCCTTTCATTAGAAACATGACACAATTGTTTTTTTTTTTCCCAATATATTTAATTAATTAGCCAAAACATCAATGTAAATGTAAAAACTGTTCTAATTTCTTGCAAACATATGAAATAAACTTGGTTTCTTTTTTAAATTTAAAGATAATAATGCTGAATGTAAAAAATGGAAAATGATATTTGGACCCCTTTAATTTGTAAGAAAATTATTAATACTTTGATTCCTGCTTCAAAAGATAGTTAATTTAGTATATCATGGGTATCAATAATTCTTTGCAAGGGATCCAAATATCATTCTCTGAATAGAAGCCATACAATTTAAACCCATGTCAAAAATTAAAAAAAAAAAACAGAGAATATAATTTAAATAATGATAATTGCTGATAATTACTTGAGATGTTCGGTGCGGGCAAAAGTCAGAGACTGAGGCTCCATAAGTATGCCGCCAATGGTTGTGTCCCCATAACAAATACCTCTTCCGTGGCGAGTCTCATCCATGCGCCGCTTTCGAACGGCGGCTACCGCCACCTGTGCCATGGCGGTGAAAGGACTTCCCAGGGGGCCTTGTCTTTTATACCTCTTAGTGCCCAACAAGAAAATGCCAAATGCCACAGCCATAGCTGCTGCTAATATGGCAAATCCCAACGCCCATCCAACATTATCCTAAATGCATAGAATTATGACGCAATAAATAACTAAGATGAATTGCCAAATAATAATAATAATAACTAAGACTCCATATCGGCATATAGTCTTTCTTGTCCAAAATTTTATCTACCTAATGATGAGTTAATTATAATTTTTACCGGAAAAATTATATCAAGTCGAACCATATGTTTCAATTTTATATTATAACTTTATTAAGTTTTTTCCCGAAACCAATTGTGAAATATAAAAATTCAACCCTCATTAATGCCATTAACTTACTTAGTGAAAAGTACCTGCGTGGAATTATATTAATTTTTGTTACCACGTCCTGCCAACAATCAATAATATAAAAAGAAATTATTTCTCTTTTCTTTCAACTATGAGATTATCATTTCATCAAAAAGATAAGTTCAGGATTAAATTTAAAAATCAGTATAAAATTAAAGACGTAATCAAAAGTATATTTTTTTATGCAATTATTTGGTATCGATCAAATCTGAGCACTGTTGATCATCATTATTGGCAACTCTTCAATGCAATTTTTTCATCCGCAAGGAACTAAAACATGAAATGGGGCAAAAAAAAAAAATTCCATGATATGTATAACGTTAATTATTAAGATCAAATTATTGAATGATTTTGCAAGCATACATTATAAATAATATAGAGGGAAAAAATTAAAAAATGATGAAATAATAAATACCTGGATATAAATAACACCAACAATGGCAGACAAAGCACCAATAATAATGCCCAAGAACCACCAATTGAAGAAAGAGTTCTTAGCCATAATCTCTTGAGCCGATGACTCGTCGAACTGATCAGCAGCAAATGTTTGGATGCATGGCTTGTGCCCTCCTTCCCCAATCGCCGATACGTAAAGTGCTATGAATAACACTAACTTTCGACTCTGCAGAGGAATCACTGTCACGGATGCATGCTGTCAGCAAAACCATTCCCTACGCAAGTCGATGCAAACATTTTGTCAGATTCGGTGTTTGATTTGGTTGGAAAACGTCAAAAACCGAATCAACTAAATACTTCTCTGGTTTTTAATACTACCTCCAGTCGTAATTATAAGAGCCCGTTGACTAATTTGAGAAGATTAAGAAAGTAAGTTGAGTTAGTTATTTGTCCTAAATAGGTGTTGTCTTTCCTAAAATATCCTTACTAATCAAGTGTATTAACTAGAACTATTATTGTTAGAATGGCTATTTTGGAAAAAAAATGTATAAATATGAGAGATAA